ATAGTCGTATAAAGCATCATGGCATGAACCACTTGCCATACAGCAACCAGATTAATAATCAACTTTTGTCAAAAATAAATTTTTTCTTCTCTTTTTCTGTTTTTTGCTCTTAGTTTCGTTCTCTTCCACAAGTTTTTTAGATTTTAGTTTTTATAGGGGGACATGAGTACAGACTCCGGTCAAGCACCTCGGAGATGAGTGAAGGATATCAGCTTGCACGCTGCTGGACAAGTTGTTAACCTCAACATATGTCATGGCCTGCGTCAAAGGATATCGATGGTACAATTAAGCAGTCAAACAATGTAAAGTATTTCAACTACTATTTGTTGTTAATTTTGGACACAAATTGTAGATTAAAATTCCCTTTTTTTGCACCTTTAACTGAGGTGGCAAATACGAGGAACTGGCTGTCACTATGCAATCCAAAATCGGAACACCCACAAATGTGAAAAAACGGCTAAGAAACTCTAAACTGCCAAGCCGACTTCCACGTTGCATTACGTAGGCCCTACTGTAACTCAAGATTAAAGGAAGACCATTATACTGATCAGTGGTCACTGCCCTCGAACTGTCTAAAGCCGTCACATCTTTGCTTCCGATCTGTCTGCGTCCTGCTCTTGAATGATGTTTTTTTTAGCTTCCTGAACACTGCCAGGAAGAATCAATTACACCGACTCCAAACTCCTGCCTCTTGTATCTTAAAGATCTACCTGCTTGCAACAGATGTGCAGACTGAGATCACTAACCATCTCAAGTTACACCAGACGACTCATCACTTCTTAATGCCTTAGCTTTTTTGGCCCTGTGTTGTTATTCTGGTTAAACATCTTCAATAAAATGCGAGGCAAAAAGTTTGCTCAGGGTGTGACTGGTGTTGTTACTATTGCCACAAAACTTGCAGTTGTTGCCATGCTCGGTCAGAAATACAGAGGCCAGCAAAAAGAATATCAAATTTTCACAACAAAGCACTCGCCTCAGCAGATAAGAAAGAAATATTGCTTTTCAGGCTAGCTGTGGGGCAACTTGTAGATGAAACTACGATTTCTTACATAAAACGAAATTCCAATTTTATGGAAATAGTATTTTCCAATGGGTTTTTTTCTATTTGTTATGTTTTGCTATATTATTGTCTGAAGTTGTTGCCAATTGATATAAACGTAAGTATAACCGTGAAGTACGCGGTTACAAATTTGTATTTGTATGCAAAGCGAGTCACTGGAACGCTTTAACACAAGAATGCATGAATTTTAGTTTGTTCAATCGCAATTGTTATGGATACAGTTCTACTATACAAAACAACAATTTGGTAACCTCGAAAAGTTAGATTACAACGCAGTTGACTAAATAAATTTGTTTATTAAAAATAGCTCTCTTCTTAGTTGAAAATGTTAGTAGTTACCCTGTTCATAACTAATTATTTGTTATTTGCAACAATAGTTTCCTCCTCAATTATATTATAACTTGTCGGAAGTAAATAAGATTAACTAATTAAACCCTGTACTCAAAGTGGTAGACCCCACAAAGTATATATATTCTTGATCAGCATGACAAGCCGAGTCGATATAGCCATGTCCGTCTGTCTGTCCGTCTGTCTGTCCGTCTGTCTGTCCGTCTGTCTGTATAAACGCAAGGATCTCAGAAAGTATAAGAGCTAGAATAACCAAACTTGGTATACAGATTCTCCTGAGCCCGAGAAAGGACGAGTTTGTTCATTATTTCTGATCCACTCCTCCATTCCCCCCTATTCGTGATTTTTTATAACTCCCGTAATTCTTGGAATAAAATTTGGTAGTCACATTAAGTTAGTGATTATATATCCGTAACCAAGTTTCATTATGATAGAATGATCGGAAAGAAAGTTATAGCCATATAACCTGGCCCAATGCACACATACATAAATATGTACAAGTACACAAACACACATAGGCACGATTCTGATGTAAATGTAAATGTATATATGCATGTATTGAATATTTTATATTTAATTTAGTTAACTAATTAAATTAATTTAGTTAATTAATTAAATTAATTTAGTTGATTAATTAAATTAATTTAGTTAATTAATTAAATTAATGTAGTTAATTAACTAAACTAATTTAGTTAATTAATTTAAATAAATTAATTTACAAACTAAACTAAATTAGTTAATTAATTTAAATTAATTAATTTAGTTAATTAATTAATTAATTAATTTAGTTAATTAATTTAAATAAATTAATTTAGTTAATTAATTTAAATAAATAAATTAATTAATTAATTTAATTTTTTTTTGTGGGGTGGTACAGGGTATTTAAGAGTTGAGTCTGCTCGACTTTAGAATTTCTATCTTGTTTTTTTTTATAAATCTGTTAGTTTAACTGGTCCTTATCCTTTTTGAGTGGAGAGCAAGTCGTAATAAAGAGTTTCACACCTAGTTCGAGTCTCATTGTTATTGTGTTCTATTTTTATTTATCAGCTAATTTCGGTCAAAACGTTTTGAAAGTGTCTCACGGTTTCAGTTTCTTCTGAATATCCATAAAAATGGAAAAATCTCAATAACAACAAAAACCAAAAACTCCATTTTGTTTGAAGAAAACCAGCCACTTATCTTACATTAGTCTGGATTTAAGTTTTTAGCCATACTATAAATGATTTGTTTTGAAATTGTTAAAACGACTCTTAAAAACGTTAAACATTTAAAATGGTAAATAATAATTATTATAATATAATATTAATTATTATAATAAAATTAACTGATATATGCTTTAATTATAAAGAGAAACCATTTTTAAATAGGGTCAATATCAATAATAAGTAATAATGTATGCCACAAATTTATCAGATATCAACAGTAATGGAAAAGATGTAAAGCCGGTAAAAAGTCTAAGATAAATATATTTATTAGCTATAGATTGACTATAACTACAAATGTAACCTTTTGAAGGACTACTTCTAAAATAAGACAAATTGTTGTCCAAATTTTGTAACATTGACAAACCTATGGGGCCTTTGGCTGTTTTCTAATATTGGTAAGGTATATTAGAAACCCAATTTACAGGTTTGAAGCATTTCGGTGGCATTCTTAGGGTTAACAAAGCAAAGTGTCTTGGTTTGCCGAATTAGGCGAGTGGATTATGCGGAAAGCAGGGCGCGCACGCGCTATTGCCTCATTCGGTATGCAACAGAGAAGCGCAGAAAAATTAATATGCACGACTAGTATGTGACTAAGGGGACGGTGGGCGAGGCGTGGGCGTGCGAACCGCTTCAAAGCACATTGGGCATTTCAATCGCGATAACACAGATGCCTATGGCAATGGCCGGTGATGACGATTATGATAGACAGTAAAAAGTACTCCCCCCGAACGGCCGGCATTGATCGCTTACCAATTACAGAGCTGACGCCAATCCAGTCCACTCAGAAATTGGTGTACGTGAGGTAAGGCAGGTGCGCACATTCTGGACATTGACATTGAGGAAAGAGCTCGATCGGAACGCCTTGCAGACCCAACGCAATTGAAAGTGCTTTATATAAGTGGGCTGATTCTTAGCCTGGTACTACTATTTGTGTAAGCAAACGAAAGCACCGCTATCCCTCGGCTTAGTCCCCCACACACAATTGCATAATTAAACATTGGTGACGGAAATTAAAGTCTACCTCAATCGATTGGAAAAATAATAGTAAGGACACATGCAATCATGTAACAGCCAGAACTGTACAGAGCTCTAAAATACCTTTAAAGGAAAAATAAATACCATTCTAAAACCAATGTATTCTATTTTATTTAGAAGATTACACAATTAATACTTGTAATAGTTACAGGTTATTATATGTTAAGCAATCCAGCAAGCCCGACTGAGACTCTTCACTGAGAAGAGTCAAAAGAAGAAGAAGAGGGAACACCTTTCTGCAGCTTATGGGCTTAGTGCTGGAGTCAAAGCATCATCAATCTGCATAATAATTCCTCGCATGTTTCCAGGCTGAATACTCGCCCGCTTTGCTATTAAATGGTGATAGCAGTTCATCGTAAGTTGTATGCGACTCTACTCACTATAAATACCTTTCAAGACGTTTTCTTTATAATCAAATGAGCGTAACCGATTTACAGCTTTCAGTAGTTCCGCACGAATAGATAGTCCATTAATATTTTACCAAGCTTTTTACAATCATAATACTTGTATAACGATGCAAATCTGCGTCCTACATGGATTCTTCTATTCTAACACAAACACCATCGTTTAACTTTTTAAGAATTGACTGAAACTTGATATGGTTTGAATACTTGTATGAACCGGATCGGTAACTGTATGTATGTCCGGTCGACAAAAGTGTGAGCACCTAGCACTATGAAGTGTACGACCGATTATTGTACCTGCCAAATATATCTATATAATAACTTTCATAAAAGTCGGTCGAACGCACCACAAACACCATAATACGAGATGCTTATATACAAGTGTATATATAAATAACGTGGCTTTAGAAATGTGGACAGTATTGACTGAATTCTGTAGAGGGGAGAAGGAAACAAAGATCGCAAAAATAAATTTAAATAAAAAATGAATGCTTCCTTCTCCCGGCAAATCTAAAATACCCTTGTTAACCTTCAGAAACGAGGTATATAAATAAAATTGTTGATCAGATGCGGGAAGTAATTCACTGAAAAAGATATGATATTGGAGACAACTTCGCACTAACAATCGCTTACAACTTTTAGGTTGCATAAAACTTAATTTTAATATTTGAAATTTTTAGCATTCTTTTCCCTCCCTGTATGCAGCTTAAATCAAATTCTAAGCAACTTGATTTACAATTTTTTCTTTTCGTTTCCAAGCTCAGCCTAATCCGACTCTAACATTCCTATTTATCTTTATTTATTAAATACGAACTATTCCTGCCACCTCCCTTGTACAAATCGGAAAATTGCTGCTTCAAATTATATTAAATGGTATTCGGCACAGTTACGAAAAGAAACAGTTGTAGAGAATTGTACCCAAATAAATGAAATCAATTCGTATGAGACATGGCGTGGCGTCTGATGAGCCTTCTGCTAGCCCTCCAGCTTTCAGGGCACAGCGGAAAAGTCTACAAGAGCCGAATAACCATATTTACGGAGCGACAGGATCGCGAATGGCAAGGCGTGAATAGTAACACGGGGGATAACCATGGTGGCTGGTTGGTGCGCATCATGAACGGCAATGGGTTCTTTGCATGTGGCGGAGCCTACTATGCACCCCTAATGGTGCTGACCTCGGGTACCTGTATACACGACTACCGGTACGCTTTAGATGGAGCCAGTGCCGACACGCCGGCAGTTGCAGATCATGAGACGGAGAACTTCTCCCTCCTGGATACGGTGCACACGCCCGACGACTTCAGGCATACTGAGAACTTCATGGACATTGCGGTGGTCCAGTTGGGAGCGCCCATACGAGGGGTGCTTACGGAGTTCATAAAGCTATGCACTAAGCCAACTAAGGTGGGAATGAACATGTCGTCCTATGCATGGGGGTATGGCAACTTAGACGTACAGCTGCCAACAATAAATCCAAAAAAGACATATGTGCCCGTCGAAGATCTAGGGGAGTGTCAAAAAAAATTCTGGGAACTGAGGCGGAAGCCAACGGCAACATCATTGTGTGTTACGCAACCTAAGGACAAGATGAAGTGCCGCTACGATCCTGGTGCACCTTTAACTTGGAGAAATGAACTTTGTGGAGTAGTGTCGAGAGGTTCGAGGTGCTGGAACACATCCTACCCGGGCATCTACACCGATATCTATAAAGTCAGGAAGTTCATTGAGGATATTGAGGAAGGGATCGAAAATGGCGATATTGTACGACGACGAAGGAGAGCAGCCAAAGTCACACAATTGACTACAATGAAACGACTAAACAGAAGAAAAAGGGCAACCTTAAATAGGGCCCTAAAACCGTATTATTGATTTCTAAACAAGAGGGAACGCTACGGTCGAGCAAGCCCGACAGCAAAATAGCCTGTAATCTCCACAAAAAAGGGAAAATTCAAAAATATTTATTTAAACAAAAATTAAATTATTTACAAAAAATGCAATGAGTTCATTAAATATAATAAAATATATTTAATACACACATACATATCTACAAAAGTGAAGACATGTTTATGTACAGATTCAAGACCATATATTTACATTATCGTGTCTATGCGTGTTTATATGCGTCAAGGCAGAGCTTCGGCAGAGAAAATACTTATTTATTTATGGCTATAACTTTCGTCATAATTAACCTATCGTAATGAAAGTTGGCATACGGACTCATAATCACTAACTGGAGGTATTTGAGTAGAAAATACCAATACGCGGGTTATGGAAAACACACGAATTGCAGGGGAGTGTGAGGGGGGGTGTATCAGAAAAAAACACAAACTTGTCCTTTCTCAAACTTTGGAGAATCTGGTTACCAAGTTTGGGTATTCTAGCTCTTGTAATTGCTGAGATCCTTGCGGTCGTACAGACGGACAGATGGTCAGACGGACAGACAGACAGATGGTCAGACGGACAGACAGATATGGCTATATCGACTCGACTTGTCATGCTGATCAATAATATATATGCTTTGTGGCGTCTGCCACGCCCCCTTCTGTGTGTTACATACATTTGCACAAAACTAATATACCCTTTTACCCTTTGGGTACAGGCTATAAAAAGTACGACCACTTTGGAAAGAATATGTTGCTCGTTCTATTTCTGGTCATACATTTCCTAAGCCATATAAATAATGTAGTGATCAGGCTTAGTGATTGATGCAGATACATATATAGATAGGCGGATGGATGAACTTCGTGGCGTTATGATGATTATACATTCATGTACATTAGTATATATGCATCGATGTTTCAAGCTTACGCATCAAAATAAATATACCCTTACAACTACTACCTGTGAATGGTATACAATTTAAGATCACTAAGTTCCACCAGATGTCCGATTTGTTACAGTTCATGCTAATATATGCATTAAATAGCATTGTAACGTGTTCATTATTCCAGCAGTTGCGAAATATTTTTAAAAATCTGCAGCTATTTCCCAATGGAGCTTCGTTACAACTTGCTGATCTGTTTGCTCGGCGCCCTTACTGCCAGCGGCAAAAAGGAGCTATCCAGTCACCTACGAATCCAACCACCCATTCGATCAGAGAATGTCAACGGCTACCTAAAAACCAGTGGAGCCCAGGTGGGCCCTTGGGTGCTACGCATCATGAAAGGCAACAAGTTTGCCTGCGGGGCGTCCTACTACAGCAGTCTCTACGTGCTGACCTCCGCGAGCTGCCTGCATCGGTACAGGAAGAAGCTAGACGTTTTGAGGGTCGAGTTCGCCATGCCCGAGCCGGACAGTTCCGAAGGTGTGGCGCTCATCGACGAAGTCACTGTACCCAAGCAGTATAGATGGCCCGAAAACTACATGGACGTGGCAATGGTCAAGCTAGTCGAACCCCTGACTTCCCATCAATTTCAATTCGTAAAGCTCTGCCAAAAACCACTTCGTGGCTATAAGAAGCTAACGGCTGTTGGCTGCGAGGCGAATCCCGATCAGAGAATGCAAGTGGAGGAAGTATCCGTGAGGACGAGATCAGAGTGCCTTTCTGACTACGAGACAATGCGCTTGTCCGGAACCGTAACATGCGCCGAAAAACACCAACAACCAACCAACACCAAGCACTCCAATTACGGTTTTGGCTGCCCTCTCACATCCGGAGACGATCTTTGCGGCATTTCTCTCATGGGTCCCCGATACAAAAATACCCTTTTCACCGACATAACTCAGGTGAAGAGCTTCATTTCGAAAGTTGCTCACCAAAAGCGCCGACCTAGGACTCATAAAAAACGAACTAAGGAAATTAATATTTGGCGAAAATGAAATAAGTACTGGATGTTGTAAATAGATCGATCTATGTATATTTTTTTGAGAGAAATAACTGAATAAAATATCAATACCTGGGGTTGACCGCAGATTGTGTGGATATTATGGCCTCTATGTAACACAAGTTGCATTTTAGCGAGTTATTGATAAATGTGCGAGTATGCATTAAATAAATACATATTATAAAATAGAAATAGAACCTATTCATAGTAGTCGGAGCTATTAGAGATAGCTGCACCAAGTCATACATTTATTTAGAAATGACTTAATAAGTGATTCCAGATTCAGTTTAAATAAATAGTGTTAAATTGTGATGAGAAGATACATAAGCACATATACTAAGCAAGGTTTTAACATTTCCAAAAGTGGAGTTTATGAAAAGTGCTTCAATACTCACTTGGAGTTTTTCACTCTCCAGTGAAAGCGTAAAATAATTTTTAAAAAACAATTAGAAACCCGTATCTTAAAAAAAATCTTAATAAACCTATTCTTATTAATGTAAGACTATTAATAGACTGTTGAAAGAAATTCCAACGTTATGGCGGCCTGTCTTTATCGCCAACTATATACTATAATTATTAAACAGCGATGAGTTTTTCTGTAATATAGTATTCTCTGATATCAGATTCTGCGCCGGACTCAAAGCATTTGAGCGATGCAAAATGGTAATAGCGCTCTGAAAACTTGACAAAAGTTAATCCAGTAAATATAAAGAATAAATACTTGCTTGCAAGCAAGTTTTGTACGCTTTGTATGTTTTATACAGTAAAGATGTTTTAAATATAGAATATCTACAGCATCTATATTATTTTTGAAATAGCATTTAAAAATCAATTTAGATTCAGAAAATGATAATATTAACTCTTTCCTCATACATATTGTCATCGTTGGGATTTTACAGTATACGGGGAGAAGAACTTCTTAATATGATTCTCGGATGTGAGATAACAGCACACAGCAGTCAGTCAGTCAGTGTCTTAACTAATTAGCATAACCTCGACGCAGTTGCCAGGAAGTGCTCAGAGTGTGATGAGTTCAGCGGCCAGCTTTTGCACTTGAAACCCAAATTGCGTAGTTCCAGTTCCCGAAATACTCGCGAGTGGACTCAGTTTAACCTGAAGCTATATTTGCGAAATGCCGAGAGTACCGCTAGGTGCGCAGGTGCGCGTGTGAGGGTCGAGAAAACGGGTAAGCCCGCTAGTGACGTCACATGCCGAAACAAGTTTTGTAAGCACCGTTTTGCCGAATGATTAAGAATGATTTAAATTGTATTGTTTATATAAGCGAGTGAGTTAAATGAATACAAGTATGCATGTAAAGTAAGATATTATGAAACTAATGGCATTGGACACAGCAGCAAACTCAGCCCTGGGCTGTGGCAGCAGCCCAGCAGAATGAGTTCGCATACACCATGGCCGATTTGGGACTGCGGCTAGTTCTGGTGTTGCTGCTGATGCAGCTGACAAGACTAAATGGGAGAATCTATCCGGATCGCATTAGCACGGACACCAAGAAGGAGACACGTCAATGGGGCGGCATGATGGCCAATACAGGCACCAACCTGGGCGGCTGGCTTTTGCGCATCACGAGCGGTTTTGGAAATTTTGCTTGCGGCGCTGCCTACTACTCCCCTCTGATAATGCTGACCTCAGCCAATTGCATACAGCCAATTCGATATAGCTTAGAAGCTGCCATTGTCGACGTCACTGCCATGTGCGAGCGAGAGGACACCTACGCGGTCATTGACACTTTCTATTCGCCACCCACCTTTCGAGTTAGACAGACCGAAATGGACATCGCTGTGGTAACGCTGCAGGAGCCCTTGGGAGGCAGACTCACGGAAATCATCAAGTTGTGCTCTACACCCATTAAAGAAGGCATGTCTGTGGATGCCGTTGGTTGGGGTTTCCTTGGCTTGAACTATTGGCCCCGTCTCCAATTCGCAAATACGAGCTCTGTGGTGGTTGGGAATTTGGATAGTTGCCGGGAACAATATAAGGACATTCGCAATATAACTGATAGTTCGTTCTGTGTTACTCTGCCTGCAGATAAAAACGACTGCATCCACGACAATGGATGCCCTTTAATTAAGGAAAACGAACTCTGTGGAATTGTATCGTATGGCGGCAGTTGCCTAAACACCACTTATCCAGGCATTTATACAGATATCAATGCGGTTTCTGATTACATAGAACGAATTGAAAATGATGTCGTAGCGGGTGTATTGTCACGTCGTAGAAGAAGAAGACGGCGATCAATCCACCAAAAAAAAATGTACCATCAAATATTAAAATATGCAAAGCAAAATACACACAATCAGTGCAAGTGTGTTGAAAGATCAGCACACCTTTTGTACATAATATAATTAACTTATACCTACACAATCAGTTTTTTTTTTTTAAATTTGGTTTTCTTTCCCGTACGATAATACAGATGGACTGACGAATATACGGGCTTGATGGTATCAACTCCTCTTGTTCTGCTAAACAATCCTCCTTCTAGCGCTAATATATCCGTTCTCCCATTTGGTACAGAGTATAATGTATTTGATAAACACATTTAAGGGTTAAAGGAAAAAATTCGAAGCTATCATTACTTTTTCTAAATTTGAAACACGCAAATATTGAAGGGTGTATCTACTACCTAGACCTGCATAACTTCATCTTTGAGACCATTACTACTTAAGTAAACTTAAATTTTAAGCAAACCTGGTTTCAATATTTACAGTGCAGGATACTGACATATCACTGCAGTGAACTACAAATTGTTTCAATTCTTACACAACTAGTATCTGCAATGTTCCACAACAGTGACTTGCACGTACTCGATACTGAATAAAACAATATAGCCAGAAATAGCCAGAAGTAAATCAAATAGTTTTGTTTACTACACGTGGTTTGCGGAATTGCTTTATTTAAACATATCTCCATTGATCTGACTTAATGAATATATAAGCAAATCTATTCCAGCGAAGAGTATACATAAGTATATTAAATATATTCAAAAATATTTTAAATAACCATATTTAAAATATATGAAAAAAAAAAACTTGTACGTGTACAACTGATTACGAACATATGTTTGAATTGCATACATCCGGACGAATCTAGTTTAAGTTTTAAATTATATATATTGAATATACTTTTCGAAATTCGGTTACTTTTGTCGTGCACTCGGAACTGGCTGCTATGAAACTTGACGAGGATGTTAAAGCATAGAGCTTGTGAGCGTTGTAGTACAAGTAAGAACTAGTTCCAATCAACCACGCAGTGAACTAAAAAACCATTTGAACAACAGCTGTTACGGAACTACCAAAAAACCATCTCTCGCGAACGCACTGTTTAATGCACATGTTGCTTTAAGAAATTAAAACACAACAATAACAATTTAAAACACAATGGAGACGGTTAAAGAACTAATACAGTTTATGCAACCCAATCAGAGGCTCGATTTAAAGGCCGTGGCACTGACGCATGTGCTAGGTAAGAAAGGGAAATGAAAAGTCTAATTACTACCAACTATACACGTGTGGTTTGTTTACATTTTTCGCAAAGGTCTGACTGGCAGCGCCGAAGGAAAAGCGGCGATACTCTCGCTGGATGACATGCTGATTGCCATTTTCGGCTTGACCCACGACAGCAACCAGACTGTGGCTAAGGATGCCGTACTCAGTTTGATAAATTTAACAGCCGAGGAAGCAGGCGCCATCAAAATATTTGATTTGGCCAAGCAAACAAAACCCGTAAGTAACCTAACAAGACAGGAAGGACCTTTAAAACTGTGAAGATATACTCCTGCAGATATTTCCCTTAATCAATGAGGCAATTCAACACATATGCGACGAGCAGGCTGAACTTGCTGACGCTTGGTCCATGGTGCTGAGCAATATGACGCGGGTAGAGTCGCTGGTGCACGAAATACTGGATACGCTGGAGCGCGACGAACAAACACTTCCCAAGCTAGCCAAGGTATTTGCCCAGTTAGATTACAATAAGAAGAAGTCTAAGCTGCACTATCTCGGGCCCATCTTCTGCAATCTCACGCAAACCCCACGCGGTAGGGAGCTTTGCTGTCACTCGAAATATCAGTTGCTAGAGAAACTGTTACCATTTGCATCCTATGAGGAGAATGTTGTGCGACGTGGTGGCACGATTGGTATCATTAAAAACATTTGCTTCGATCCAGTTTACCACGACATAATCCTGAACGATAACGATGAGATCTTGTGTGCTATACTGAATCCGTTGTGTGGACCTGAGGAATTCAGTGATGAGGAGAACGATAAGATGCCTATTGCACTACAGGTGAGAGATTTAAAGACAGAAAAATTTGCAACAAGATACTTTCGACCTTAGAGACCCGTCGTTCAATAGTATACAAAGCCATAGTTTCTGTTAAATCAACATCGTGACAGTAGTCCGATCTGCCATAAAGTTGTCTTTTTGGTTCCTAGGTAAATTTTCCAAAACATTTGCAATGGCAAACTCGCCTCTTTCAAGTAAAACCCCTTTATTTGTACTATCGTCTGTATTCCCGAAATATTATACTTACGCAATAATCCTTTTTAAAGACTTCAAGCTTTTACTTGTTAGTATTGTTAACTAATGTCACAATGTAATGTTTTAATTTAGCATAGAAAATGATATTTTTCTAAAAGTCATCGGTTATTGCAAGTATATCTGAAGAAACAACGTTGTATAATTTGATCAACCAAATTACTTTTCTTATATTTCAGTATCTGTCAGAGAGTAAAACACGGGAAACAGATCCTGATCTGCGCCAAATGTTGCTGGAGTGCCTTCTACAGCTTTGTGCGACGCGACGTTTCCGGGAACATCTTCGCTCTAAGGGGGTCTATGAGATACTGCGGGAGTATCACAAGTGGGAAGCAAAAATTGGTCGCTGCAGCGAGTGCCTGCAGGCTTGCGAGAATGTGGTGGACATTTTAATCAAGTGAGTTCGTAAATTTTTTAAAAACATTTATCTTTTCAACTCACACGCTTTGAATACTTTTGTAGAAATGAGGAGGAAATCGGACTGGACAACTATAAAGCCCTCGAAGTTCCGGCTGACCACACAGAAAAGTTCTTGCAAGAGGATGCTGATTATGTTAAGAGTTTAATGGATTGATGTTTATATCGTAATTATTTTGTATATTGTAAATATATTGCTGTAGCCTAAACAAAAACTCTGTTTGCTTTTTAATATATAGTATGTATGCAGTTTTATTCAGAAATGTTTCAATGCTTTGTGAGTTTTGCTCTTCACATACCCCTATCCTAAAGTAAAACACACAGTTGTATGCTCGCATTTAAATGCAAAATAAACAATTTGATTAGTTTTTAGTAGCATTTTGCTCAGTAAAGAGTTTATCTAGTGGTTTGCGCTTAAAGTTTTAGATATTTGTATATATATATAAGGTTTACTTATCAGCTAAGTACATTTGCATTCAAAAATTTTTAGCAATTTTTTATTAATATGAAACTTTTATGTTTTTTCACTTTGTTTGGTCATTTGTTCTCATTTGTGATGAAAACAGCATGTGTTAATAAACGAATATTTCATTAGTTATTTGAGTTCTGCGAAGATGTAGTAAATGTCGCTCTAAAATTTAAATCGCCTTCTTACATACGATTATTCAAAATGAAGAAAAGCGCGCGTCAGTAATAATATAAAATTAATATAAACGATTGCATCAAATAGTTAAACTATTAATATATTGTATGAAAAGTTAAAAAAATAGAAGCGCCGTGGACAGTAGTAAATTATATCTTACTACTGTTTTTCGTATTGAGCGCAATTTCAAAAGTTACATATATTTTGAATTTGGGATTTTTAGAACAATGTCTGGGCTGTGAAAAACAGTTGCAGCTACAATTGAATGAAGATCTACATTTTGTTTGAGTTTAAGCCAATAGGGTGCGGGTTCCTTCAATTTTTGTTTGGTTTGGACATGCCAGCACTTCAATTTATGTAATTTAGTTTTAAACATTAGCTTAAGTGTGTGTTGCTATGTGTGTTTAATATTACAAGCAAGCGACTTCAGCAAATTCTTGAACTTGTTTTGGAGTGGAAAACCTTTCATTACGCATACGTTTTTAATTTGCATACAAACATTTTGAAGTACAAATATATTTTTGTTTAGCTTTTTGGTTTTGTGCTGCGGAAACCATTGCAAGCTCGCTCAGTGTGTGCAGAAAGAATCGAATCTAAATGAAATCAATTGTTATTAAAATACATGGTTTCATTAACAACAACTATCGTATATTAAATGCTATGGTGTTTTGAATTACTGTTGTTGTTCTTAACTTGCTCAGTAAGCGATTTGCACGTCGATTTAGTATTTTGATTTGGTCCTATTGGTTTTCGTTATGCTCGGTTCATGTTATTGCAGTTAATGGATTCGTTTATGCTTAAATTTATAATTAAGCGTTAATGCTACATACATACATTTAATTTCCAGTAACTCGCATGTTGAACTTAATTGTTAATAAATAGCTTGTTTTCTTGTTAACTTATAACTGCTTTTCGTTTTAAATTCCTGCGTGAAATTTAATTTATTTTTACACAATTTCCTATCAAGTTAGCCTAAAAATTCAGCGTCTTCTAATAAATAATTATTTACAATAGTCGTCGGTGTCGTCGACGTCGACGTTGGCGACATCCTGAAGGCGAAAACGTATTTAAAACTATCAATTAGGTGTGGGCAGAAAACAGTTTGCGCATCTTAGCCGAGGCCCGCACACACATGCGATGTGTGCGCGGCCACGCTTATTCTGGACACAAACCAACCAGCTAGTGCACCGTGGTACTTAAGAGCTAAACATAATTTAATTTAATTAAATTTAATTGCAATTGAACTTGAATGTGTTTTACTTTGATTTGATTCCGACTCGGCTCCCAGTTTCTTAGCAACGCTTAGGATTAGCATAATCATGGTAAATAGTTTTAATTTAGTTGTTGCTTTCGCCTAAATTTAATTCATCAATTATTGTTAAATAATTTTTAGATATTCATTTATAAATCACATAATTGCTTGACGAATTCCATAAAAATACGTTTGGATTAGCTTTTATTGCAGAGTGTTGTGTGAACTGTAGATTGTAGGGTGTACAGCCTCGTATGTGCTATGAGTATAGTACAAGTATATGTACGTGTAGAGTGTGTGTACGTGTCTGTTCGTGTGACATTTTTAACGGTGCACTTTTTAGACACAGAGACATCAAGATACTGGTAGAGAGTGAGAGCGAGTGCGGTCTATGTACGAGTATGGGTTTTGTAAACTTTTGCTGCGCAGCAGTATAATTAAATGCTTTTGCTGATTACTTTGACTTTAGTCGAATCCATTCGGAGTTCTTCGGAGTTTTCTGCTTATTAGTGCCCTCCAATCCGCACACAGTGCTACCTGGCGGTCAAGTCAAGGCGATTCCGCGCAGCCAGCAGCAGCAGAGCAGCAGTGAGCATATGTCGCAACAGGGATTCCGCACTTGCCACGCGATGTTGCTGTTGGGGGGAGGCTGCGTTGCACGCGTCCGCGTCGCTGCAGCTCTGTAGGCAACCGTGTACGTATCTGTGCGAAAAAATTATGCAAATTATTATTATTATCATTCTTTATTGAGTCGGAAAATGTCATTATTAGATCAAGCATGCATAATGAACGTTTTCTCATTATCCGCACAGATAGTATTCCTAGCAGAGAACTTCTTAACAGACGCAAAGTTGATAGCGACTTGTCTAATACTGTTTTGATTATCCTCTTTAAAAGCCTTTTTGTTGCTCTGGGAGAGTCTCTGACTAGCCTAACGTATTTGGAAATGAACCTTCTTCGCACCGGTTCATAGAGTTTAGTCTATAAACAATTACTTAGCTTAATTATGTGATTGATAATTAAGTAAGTTCTTTTCTTAAATATTTTATTTCTAATTTATACCTTTTAAGTGTTACTCGTAGGTCGAAAAGGGCGTCTGATTTCATTTGGGTATGAATCGAAGTTAATGAATTGAACGCTGACCAAAGGAATGATTTATCCATACATATTATTTTTATTCATTGGAAAAAAGTATGCACGATCAACTTGGGCTCAGTGGTCCAAAGCTAGCCCAGTACATCTTCAAATGGTAATGGAATCTATTTGAAAATGTCCTGAAAATTCACTAAAATAAATTCTCAGGTTTCCTTCACTTGATTAGACCTGACGATAAGGAAGACTATAAACCATAAGCGAATGAAAATTTCTCACTATATAATGTACTTCATTTATAGTATGAACATACGATATATCAGTAACTGAAAACCTCAATAAGCTCGAACGTTAAGATAGAAAGTCTGACCTATTTCGAATATTGCACTTTATTTGCTTGACTATTGCGTCGACCTACCTATTATCATAGTAGAATTTGCCACAATGTGACATTCTTATAATTTCGGTATCTGTCGTCAATGTGCCGCTATCCAAGGCACATCCGCGCACTGTTATCGTCTCGCCGGTATCATCTGCACAAAGGAAGAAAAAAAGGTGAATCCATAGCTGATATTTCGAGTCCAAGCCCACGCTTACCATAGTAGCCGGCAATCTTAATGCAGGCTGTGGCCGGAAACAGTCCGTCCCGACCCTTCCGGCCGCCCATACACGGCGATTCGAGTATGGCCGTGGAGTAGTTGTTATGAAAGGGATCGTCGCACTCCTTATTGGCGCCATTATAGGAAACACACTTGAAACAGTCTATGCAGAAACCTAAATAAAGGGATACTTTTAACAGAGCTGCATATGAATAAGATTTAACCTGGTAGCCAGGTAGAACTTACCACTGCTGAAAAGCAGGCAGAGCAACAGCACTATGCCACTCACGATTTCCATTGGCGCGGGCGCTGCCATTCCTCCGTCGTTGGCTCAGATTATAGAACAGAACTCACGTTTGACTCACGATATGACATTTTAGGCGCTCCAACATTCTGTGCTGCAAAGAAAGAGACACAAAACCACATTAGGGCTGATTGATGACAGGCACCATTATGCATGTATGCATATACACACACACACACACATATATATATAAGCATACAAATGAGTGTTGCTTTTGTGTTGAAGAACAGGACAAAAAAGAAAAATCTTGCAACGCAAAATTAGCAAATCAATGAGGATGCCAGTCCCATCAGTATGAGTATGGGACCTGCTGATGATTTTTCATTTTCAATGAATACATCACAGTCTATTCATAACAAGAAGCCAAGAATGGCAACTCATACATACATATCTGCCTGTCAGTAATGGATTTGCGAGCTCAACGCCTGAACGAGTTGCAGACAGCTTGTGCTCGTAAAAATCAAAAGCCCATTGGGCCTCTCCATAGCCGAATCCGCAGACCTGCCGCGAATAAAAACCGTTCACATTCGAGCAGCCCATAAAAATGCTTTTCACACTCGGATGCCCCCCTCTAATGTGGATAAAACATGCCCACCAAGAAGCGAAACCCAAAAAATGGCCAGTCAGTCAGCGGGAAAAATTAAAGGCTATAAATTCCACAACGGCATTTCTTGATATAATTTTCGTACAGCTTGCCAATCGCTTTTCTCCTCTCCCACCAGAGAGTGGTGTCTCTCTCTCTCACTCACTCTCTCGCTCCACCATATGCCGGTCAATAATGCTATTCCCAAAATGTAAATAATTGCTTTTCAGTTGATTTTCGATTATCGAGTGAAGGCCCAACTGAGTTTTCACCAACACCTCTCAGGTTTCTGTTTTGTTGACAACTGATTGAGACTACTGTTAGAATATAATAAAACTTTTTGAGTTCGTTTTAGCCACATTATTTATATGGCTTACAAAATCGACAATGTCGACGAGTCCCTCAATAAAGTGTTCAAATTTGTTCGTTGCCAGTACTGAGCCTAAGGGCTATTTGAAATTGGGGCGTAATTCTCAACAAATAAGAAATGTGTGCATTCTTGTAACACGAGAAATATTCGTATTTGTAGGACAGCAGAGAGAGGCAGAAAGGTAACGCCGATGCATCGAATTAAGCACACTCTTTAAAAAAATATTCATTTGAATTAATAACTTGAACATTTTGCAGACAACATTCTTGTATACAAAATATCTATGTTTAAAATCCAACGAATTAAATATTAAATAATATATTAAATATTAATATTATTTACAGCCTTGGTTCTAAAAATACACCAAGAATGAAAGTCTATTTGCTTGGAGGAACTATCCGAATTATCATATCGGGCGTAAATTTAGAATTTAGAATGCTAGAATGCCTAATTACTATGGCAAGTTCCATAATTACAATTCATCTTATATGAAAACTCAAACTAGCTTAGGGGTGCGAAATAAAATATTTAATAGTTAATAGTTCAATAAGTTAATAGTTTAATAGTTCGGGAAAATTACGATAAAATGGATAAACCTTTGGCTTGCGAGTAATTTTTGGATTTCTCAAATAATATTGCTGTCGCAAATGCTGCTTTCAGGACTGAGAAGCTAAACTTAAAGCTGTTAATATATTTAATATTGAACATAAGTTTTGCGTAACATTTTTCATGTGATAAGCTCCGCTTGTCCTTTATACAAGTATGTCGACTGCCTTTTCGAAGGGGTATAAAGGAGAGGAGAGAAGCAGCCAAAGGCTAAATGCAGTCCACAATAAGTTGGTCCTCTTCAGCTTTTCGCTTCGCCCGACTGACTGCTGCCATCGCCGCTGTCTGCGCTTTTCTTTCTGTGGGCGGCCTTTTATGTAGAGCAATTGTATCATTTTATGTTCAGCTGGGATAGTAGAAGCATGGCAGCCAACAGCCATCGAGACAGCCTTTGAGAGTGGGACTGCCTTGCCAATAACTAGGCCTGCTCCATTTTCCTTCACTTTTTATCGTCCGGCATCCTATTGTCCTGCTGTCTGGCTCATCGCCCGAGGCGCATTTGCGTGAGGCTGCTTCCGCTCTTTCGCTTATTTAAACAAATATTGCTGAGCGGCATTCCAGCCGCAGGCTCATTAATATCAAACAAATAAAAATGAAACAGCGTCGTCGCATGCCTCTTTTTATGTTTTAAATAAATCAAATTCATGGCTGATCTTGGTCCTAAACACACACACTCACTCACATATACTATAGATGCCTCACTCAAATAATCAGTGGACTTGTTAAGGCGTTTACTGGACTGAGCAATCAAAGTCCGCTGCCTGTCCTGAAATATGACACGTAAATATGATCTATGTCGGTGTTAGGGGGGTAACGTATCGCCCATAAAAACAAACGGCATGACAGAAACAACAGTTGCGAAGTGGAAATATAAAATATGTGTATAAATACAAACAACACACACTAATCGATGGTCAGTCAGCAACACCCACACAACACATTGGCGTTCAGAAAAATAGAAACAGAAATATGAGTTATGCAACAAATTTCATGCCTAAGAGAATACCCTCTTTAATATTTATTTAACTTTAACCATAACGTATTGGGTTGCTTCCAAAATCGTAACTTAAACAAACTCATAAGTATATCTTTCTGAGCTCTGACACCGAAATATTAAAGTGGGATTCATTATCACCTTGAAGAGTTCCGAATAATTGTTTTCCATAATGTGTTCAGTTGTCAATTAGTCCGGTCCCACTGTGAGGGACATCTTATTTGTTTTTTGTTTTTTTTTTTTACTTTTGGCTCAACATCAGGACCTTTAAAATTGTACAAAGTGGTGCTTGACTTGACTTTTATTTGTCTCTCAGAAAGCCACAAAGTCTAACTTTCTGCCCCTTCTATCATACATCGCGTTTGTATTTTTTAGACAGGTCTATAATGATAATTTAGCCAGTCTGTAGAAAATATAGTAATGGTGTTGATATTTTTAATTACGTTTTTGTTTGTTTTTCTATTTGTGAACTAAGAATTATTGAAAAACGTATGAAAATTTGTAATAAAACGAGTAAAATGTTAATCCTCATATATGCCAGCTATAAATAGTACGTAATAAGTATACGATAGTATACGATATATATAAAAAGAAAAAGAATATTTGTGACAAGAAGCATGGTATTTTCACACCTCTTTCTGCCTGTTACATACACTTGTCATCTCTACCCGTTGTAATATTTTCGACATATTTACAGTAAGCCGAATATAAGTCTCTATTCAACTGACTTGCACTGTGTGCACTCATGCCCACAGGTCTATGCTCCACTCCCATTGCATTTGTTTGTGCTCTGGATGCCACGTCCACAGTCTGCCAATTTGAATTTCGCACAAGTTGGTGAAGGAATAAATGTGTTGACGCATGCAATATTCACTGACCATTTCGACACCTACCATATCAATATATTTTAGTTTGTTTATTGCATTTCGGGCATACGCCTGGCTTCCATGAAAATGCTCAAATCATTTAACGTTCAGTGCTAATTTATATTGCGCTTTTCGATTGCAACCGCAACGCAATCAACTTTGGATAAATAAATGCTTGTGTACTGGAATCAGCAAGTCAAATACGTCGAGTGCCTGCCTGATCTCTCCCCATTTCTGCTTAGCTATCCCCTCCGAATTCTCGTAGCTATTTGCATAGCCTTCAGCATTTAAGCAAATCAGGTTCTTCTAACAACTTATATTTACATATTCAACCCTTCGGATGACATTTTGTCTGATTTCAATGCGGTTTTTTGCATTAGATAGAATAGGAAAAATAAAATTATACTATTATAAAATTATACAAAAAACAATGTTTTCCATTTCCACATTATTGTTGTTTCTGGGGTCGAAAAATTTCTGTAAAGGAAAATAAAAAAAAAACATGTTCATTTTATTAAAGCCTAATGCGACCCCACATTTATAGCATTTTTAGTTGTATTTTATATATTGAAAAAATGTAATACAGAAAACATCGAATTTGCTTGCACGAATCACAAAATTGGCGCCAAAAGTGATCATAATTTCAATTCACTAGCTTATTTCAGTGCAACCTAATTAATTAATTAATTAAATTAAATTAATTTAATTAATTAACTAAATTAAATATAAAATATTCCATACATGCACACATACATTTACGTTTACATCAGAATCGTGTCTATGCGTGTTTGTGTACTTGTACGTGTATGTATGTGTGCATTGGGCATGGTTATATGGCAAGAATTACGGCAGTTATAGAAAATCTTGAATAGGGGGGAGTGGGGGGTTGCATCGGGAAAAATGAACAAACTCATCCTCTCTCGGGCTCAGGAGAATCTGTATACCAAGTTTGGTTATTCTAGCTCTTATACTTTCTGAGATCCTTGCGTTCATACAGACAGACAGACAGACAGACAGACGGACCGACGGACATGGCTATATCGACTCGGCTTGTCATGCTGATCAAGAATATATATACTTTGTGGGGTCTGCCACGCCTCCTTCTGTGTGTTACATGTACACTCGCACAAAACTAATATACCCCTGTACCCTTTGGGTACAGGGTATAACTAGAGTGGCTCAAAGTAAGATACTGAGGATAATCTTTAATGTCCCTTGGTACATGCATACATGGTACACTATGTACATTGAAAAGAACTTAAGATCCCTAAAGGTGGCTTTTGTCATCATTTTGTGTTTTCCTCTATTTACAAATAGATTAAACTGTCAACATAGCTAGTAGATAATTAGTTTTATAATAATAATTAAAAAATGGTAATTATAGATTAATTATAGCTTTTTCTTTCATACTTATTCTTTCTGTTTTCATGATTTCCAATGCTCTTGTCAGTCTATGTATATCAGTACACTGTGTGCATTATTATTGAATACCACTTAATGGGTAAGCAAGCTAAACAAAATATATGAACTCTTCTGACCATTTGAATAAGTATATTTCTTCTTTTTATTACTTTACCGCTTATCTTAGATATTTAAATAAAGTTGTTCTTCAATGCAGATCGAAATATACATAATTCAAAAAATGGCACAAGAAAGAGTCCAAACATAAATCTCT